CAATATTATTCTTTACCTCTTCAGGCAATCTATCAGATAAGCTAATTAATTCAACAAGTATTTCCGAAGAATTGTTTACCTTATTTGGAAGAGCAAAATTCAGTCCTCTTTCCAAAAAAAGTACTACACTATCCTCCAGAGTTGTACTAGATAAATTGATTACCTTATCCTTCTTCACTTTGTTACAATCATGGTTAGTAAGTTACCTTATGCGCAAAGTTTCTCGGAGACTTATAATAAGAGGTGATGCAGAAAAGAAAAGGTAGTAAGAGGAGTCAAATAAGCAAGATGAAATAAGGAATAAAAAATATTGGGAACTAATGTAAACGGAATCAACGCTTAAGAGATCCCAAATCTTAATTGTGTAAGAATCTGCTATATAAACGAAAGTGCAAGACATAAAGCAAAAATAAATTAAATTAAGTTGAGATTATGAAAGTGGCACTAGAGGGCTATTATTCTACCAAGGATTTCATAATTTTAATCTAAGTTATAAAGGATGCCAATAAATAAAATCAATACATCAGCACATGGCCAGAACAAATGCTAGCGAAGAGTATGAATAAGCGAGGCTAGATGTAAGAGATTAATGTGTTGACTAGCACTTACAGAGTCAAATTCGATGGCTTCCTTCAAGATAAGCAGGGCGCTCTCTTCACGAGTTAATCGTTTGCATTGATCTGGCTTCAATTGTTCAAGGTCTGGCAAAATAACCTTAATGAGGCGGCTTCGACGTTCTAGCTCATGTAAGATCCTGGCCTCCTCAACAGCAATTTCCTCTTCCTCTTTACCTTGATTATCAGGAAAGAGAGAGCGAAGCTTTCGGTCGCCATTAACACCTGCCAACGAACCGAAATCCTCATCTTCCTCTTCATTATTAGCATCTGACCATCTGGTCCTCTTGGCTCTACGACGTTCTCGTTTATCAGGCCCTGACGCCGTCTCCGGCCTGGGAGCCTCTGTATTGCCAGCGTTTGGCTCGAAAATTTCAGTACTCGAGTCTGGATTTGTCTGCTTATCAGGCAATCCTGGCTCTGGAGTTGGTTCCGGCTTAACTGAACCATCCGAATCTTCCTGAGATGCCTCTCTAGTCAGATCCGCTTCTTTATCCTCAAATTCAACCGTTACTCCCTGTTCATCTACCTGTTCAGACTCGGCACCTTGTTCCACGTCTCGTTCCTTGCCACGGTCACGCCGACGCCGCTCTTTTCTATCTCGCCTCTTATCCTTCTTACGCTTCTTCTCCTTCCCTCCTGGCTCTTTGCTATCACGATGGTGGTGATGATGGTGATGATGATGATCTCGCTGTCGCTTTAGGCTTTTTACTACGTCCTGATTAAGGGCCGTCGTGAGAGTTGGTGGTGAGCCTGGTAAGGCGAAGTTGTCGAAGGACTCGTCAGCATCAGGAGCCTGGCTCCTCTCACGATCCTGATGCTCGTCATCATCTTCATCATCTTCTTCCTCATCCTCATCCTCCTCATCATCATCGTTATCTCCGAGAGCACTACAGGAACGGTCAGTTTCCTTGCCGACATTAACTCGAACTTCATCTTTCGTGAGATCGTCAGGAGTCTCTAACTTGGAGGGGGACTCAACTTCCAGTTCGTTGAATACATCGCTTTGAAGTGAATTATTAACTGCATCGCTGACAACATCGGGAATCTCCTGGTTATAGGATTTGGGCATGTGCATGTTAAAGGAATTAGAATTTAAAAAAATGAAAACATAGTGTTTCGTCTACCGGACTACCACGAGACCATTTCATATATGAAGCATATTCAACCTATTTCGTTGAAGGTGATAAGGGGACTGACGATTGAATTTTCCCATAATGATAGGAATAGACCGTACATTTCCATTGAAATTCACATACCCTTTCCAAAAAAGTATTCTTACCCAAGGTGGACTGTAGTTTCGACCTCGCCTAGAGCTAATTAACACCACTAACGGGACTCGAACAATGACGGTGCAGGGTATAATCCTAAATGTGAAAGCTTGATCTTCCTTGAAATTTATGTATGCCCTTTGACCCCTGGCACTCGTGGCAGTGAAGTAGTGGTTAGCGTGTCGAGGCTATACGTTGAACTATCATGGTTTGAGTC